ACCTGGAAGACTCTGAGGGCAGATGTGGGTTTTCACATGCTGAGTGGAGGTGATTCCCCCTTCAGTGACACCCTTGTCCAGAAATTTTGACCCTTTGTTTACTCATTTCTAATTAGGTTACTGTGTACAAGATACAGTGAGCTCAAAGGAGAGGGAGACAGGTCGTTACAATCCAGCATGAAGGCAGAGCCCAAATCCTCAAACAAAACACACTATTCTATGAATACTCCAGAGACTTTATTTTCATGATTTAAATGAACTGTTTTAGTGTTAGTTGTGGCCTTAATGCCACTTATTGTCCTAAGTGTGAGTCTATGTGCATGAGAAAGTTTTCCCACTCCACAGTCTGAGCGGCTTCTTTGTCCGTGCAACTTTCTTCTGACTACCTCTCCACTTACAACCTCTCCACTTGAGGCATTGAGGACTTTGAGGTCCTCATGTGTTCTCAATGAAAACTCTGCCTTGTGAAGAGGGGAGACAAAAAAGCATGAGAATGAAGCAATCTGATCTGGGGACCGTCGTTCTGCCCAACATCTACTGGACAGGACCAGTCACGGGACTCTCCTTTAAGAAGGCAGGGATGGATTCAGGTCACAGAGACCCGAGTTTAACCTCCTAGACTCACATTATGAATGAAAAAGACGACTCTAGCAAGTTGTTCATTGGCCCCCACACGTGTGCCAGCCTGGTGTACGTATCCATGCATAGCGCACACACTAAATAAAAAGGTAATAAATTTCTCTTTTGAAAGGGTCGGGGATTGTAGTTTATGTGCCTGGGAAAGTGAACTGGAAATTGTAAACATCCTCTGGACACCATCTCACATCTGTCCACCCTCTCTTTAACCCATCCTCTGACATGGACCTCTTTCCACTGTTGTCCCTTTGGTGGTCACCACAGAGGTCCTAGTGATGCTGAGCTCTGTTCTCTCCACCCCCCCCACCCCCCGCCCAGTTCCCTCTCACCCATGGCTGCACTGGGACATTCCAGGTTGACAAAGTGATCTGCTTGTTCACCAACAGTTACATTGGATTTCAAGCACTTCAGGATGGGTGGGGACAGTGCTGAAATGGTGTCTCTAAGTCCAGGATAAAGAGCTCTGAGCTGGTAGCCTGGGTAAGGCCAGATGCTTCCGTGTATGGGCCACAGTGAGCCACAGATGGCTCACTTATACACATCTTAAACTGTAAGCAAAGAAGAATGCAGAAGAAACAGGTTTGGGTAACGTAAGCTTTGACTGTGTCATCTGGAGCCTCCAGAGCTCTGTCCAGGACTGCAGCTCAGGACACTTCAGCTGAGACTCTCCCATCCTTAAAGACTGAAATGGCACCCATTGCTATGACTGTGGGTCTCTCTCTCCTTATATTTTCTAGCCCATATGGTAATTTTAAAGATCTATAGCATAGCTTATTTATAATATAAAATCCCCCTTTTAATTTTTAATTTATTTATTTAGGTTTTTCAAGACAGGGTTTTGTCTGTGTAGGCTTGGCTGTCCTGGAGTCTCTTCTTAGACCAGGCTGGCCTTGAACTCACAGAGATCTGCCTGCCTCTGCCTCCCTAAATGCTGGGATTACAGGCATGCGCCACTGAGCCTGGCTATTTTATATTTTGATACAAAAATTACATAATCCCCCTTCTCTTTCCTTCCTCCCAAGCCCTCTTTGCTCTCTTTCAAATTCATGGCCTATTTTTAAATTAGTTGTTATATGCATTTACATGTATATACATATGTATATACATATTTATGTGTATATAGACATATATTCCTAAATACACAGAGACAGTATGCTCAGTCTGTATAACGTTACATGTATATATGTTTTCAGGGTTGATCATTTGGTTTTGGTAACTGGTTGCTGTGTTTTTCACTAGGGAAGCCTATTTCTCCCACTCTTGGTAGCACTTAGTTTCCTGTAGTGCTTTGTGTAGGGTTACTTTGAAAACATTAACTATTTCCAATAATGTTTTACCAATGAATCAAATCACATAAACACCTTAAGGCTTCATGTAAGCCTTACAGCCTCTGGGAGTATTTCTCCATGAGGATTTGAAAAGACTTCTCAACGGGAAGCTATCGCGAGTGAGGCATTTGCGCAGTTTCACCTGCTATAGTATGGACATAGTGGCACAGCACTAGGAAAGCAGAGGCAGTTTAAAACTGGCCTGGGGTATGCAGCAAGACTCTGCCACCAAAGAACAACACAGATATTTGCAGACTATCAATGGTCCCGCAGGAGTTAAGTCCTGCCTTTTTCCGTTTCTAGTTTTGCCACAAGACCGCCCTGTCACTCTGCTATCACCCTGGCCGTTCCTTTATGTCTTCTTAATATCTACTTTTTTCCTTAAGGGAGCCCTACATGATAGGGATTTGTATCAGTTCCTGGGAACTTATATCACAGCAGACAAGGTTCTCTGATCTGTTCAGATACAGCGCACATGTGCCCACACCGGCTGAGTCAAGCTGCTCTCCAACGGCTCTCTCCGCTTTGGTTCCGTAGTGACACAGCATGTGGCTATGGGTGGGGCTTTTGTTTGTCTTCAGTTCTGGGGATTGAATCCACAGGCTTCTACATGCTAGGCAGAGGCTCTGCTACTGAGGAGTGGGCAGTGTACTCCGTGTTATATATGCCTGCCTCTGCCTTGGCAACATACACTATCATGCTCAACTCTTAAAGGTGGGTTCTGGGGACTCGAACTCAGGTCGTCTTGCTTTCCTCTCAAGCACTTCCCCGACTGAGCTGCTGCTGTCCCAGCCCGTGTGGGTGCATTTTTTTAGGTCAGAGAGGACAGTTCAACTCAGAAGACTCACACTCAGTTCAGAGGACTGGGAAGAGGAGTGAGTGTCAGGAAAATGCCAAATGGACTCTAGGCTGAGTGTTTTCTTGCAGCTGATGGAGGCCAGACGGTGGTCTTCGAGAAGAAAATGAAGTCAGCGCATATATACAGCGCTTTCACTGGGTCTTCCCATGCCCCTAGCTGAAACCAACAAGTGGCTCTCTGGGCTGCTCTCATGGTCAGTGCAGGGAACTAACCGGACAGCTACCCAGAACCCAGCAAAACAGAAACCTGAAGCTGTCTACCGTGGCCACAGGCTCAGGGCTCCCTGGAGTTGTGCGCTAGGTACTGGGGACATTAGAATGTGGCAGCATGAGTACTCTAGGGTGGGCTGGGAGTGTGGCTTGGGCTGTAATTAGAAAAGCTACAAGGAGGATGTGTTTAAACAGCGACTTGCAGGCTGAGTGGGAGGAAGCCAGGAGAGGGAGGCACTATAAAAGAAGAAGAAACACCATGCATGTAACACTGGAGGCCTTGGAGCCTCTCCATACAAGGTCAGGGAGAGTCCAGCGTGACTGGAAGCTGAAGGTCAAAGGTAGGGTCCCAAGGGAAGAGCTAGAGGGGAAGGGAAGGGGGATGGCAGCTCTTTTAGTCCCTGCTATTGAGCAAAGTAGCAATGTGACATGCTGCTGGATGCCCTGGGGCGGGGGGGGGGGGAGTCCGAACTGCTCTTAAAGTCCCCTTTAGTCCCCATAGCAGTGACTTTTCAACGATTAGCTCTTCAGCCTACCTCGGCTACTTATTTACTTCTCTGTGCAGTTCCAGATTAGCTCCTGCACTTCTCAAACCTCAGGGCAAACACACTCCCAGATCAAAGTTTGACAAAGGCATTAAGTAGGTTCGAGAGAACTCTGAACTGTGGGCCCCACCGGCCTCGACCATGGCCACTTCCACAGTACTTAACTCAGTGCCCTGCAGCAGTCTGCCCTGAATCTAAACACAGCTACTTCTTTCTAAGCGACTCCCAGCAGTGCTGACTTCCATCCTGGCCCTAGCCTGACTCCCTAGGGAGCCAGAGAAATTCTGTACTCCTTTCTTAGGAGACATATACCGTCAAGGAGGCATGCTGGGCAGAATTTCTTTATGAGATGCTTGGTCTCCCTTTCTTGAATTTGCTCGTTGCCCATTCAAATGTACCCACTTTGAGGTCCTTGACATCTTCTTTCCCTATTTAACAATGGTGGTGATGAGAGGCAATGGTTAAGAATCAAAAAACAAAACAAAACCAAAAAACCCACCTAAATTAAAACAAGAAGTTGGAGAGGGTGCAAATCTTTGTGCAAATTACAATAAAGCAAAAATGATTGAAATGTAGTTTCTCCCAGTTTCCTTCAAGGGAAAGAACCCTTACAGGTGCATTTAAAAATATACATTTTATTTTATGTCCTTTGAGAATGTAATACAGGTATACAACATATTTTGATCATATTCGCTCCCCAATTTCTGGGCGACTACCCTCGGAACCTCCCACATCTTTCTTCCAACTTCATGCCCTTTTTTTTTGCGATTATTTTTTTAAATAGAAAAAAATCATATTATTTGAAAGGTTTATTTCCCTCTCTCACCTAAGTGAAGTCTAACTGGGTGGAGGAGGTCCATTAGGCCACGGGGAACCCCCTCCTTAACCTTCGCAATGCCACCACCCCAGAATCCTTGGCCTCTTGTCAGGGGGCAGCCGTAGGGGGTGGCCAAAGGAATGAGGCTCTGGGTTGAGTTTCATGGATTAATAGTTCCCTCTTCCAATTCCGTCAAACCTGCTTATAGAAACAGGAACACAGTGGGGTCGAGTCCCAGAGATCCCACACTGCTCAGCTCCACCTCTGTCCCCACATTCAACTTCCAAGGGGACACCCATCTAGCCTCCAGCGAGTGACCGTTTCCTGGGACGCGAGACTCCTCTCAACGCTCAGGCCCGAGACGCTCCCGCGTCGCCACCTCTCGAGGACCGAGCCAGTGTAGCGAGAGGCTGGACCCCTCGGTCCCAGCCTTCCTTCCTGGTACAGCTCCCAGACCAGCTCTCAGCAGCCCCCTCTGGCGCTCGAGACCTACAGGAAAGTTGCTCGGAGCGGTGGAGGGGCGTCATCGCCTCCTAGCAACGCTCCTAGCAACCGGATAACATCTGCTCCCTTTGGTCCAATGCGCGCCTAGAAAAGCCGCGCGCCCGCCTCGCGTTCTGAGCCCGAGCGAGAAGCGCTTCAGAGAAGGAGGGATCGACCTGCAGGAGCCGGCCGCCCCGCCAAGCAGCAGCCGCTGTCGCCGCCCGCCCGCCGTCGCGTCGCCGCTGCCGCTGTCGCTGTCAGAGCCCGTCCGAAAAGAGCGACACCTTCGAGAAAAACAGGAGCTACGGAACAGTTGCACACGCAGTCTGCGGGGTAAGTGGAGCCCTCGCAGGGGATGCCAGGACCCCTCCAGCCAGGCATCTGACCCCGAGGCCCGGAGAAGACATATTCCCTACCGCAGGAGGCTAGGGACTTGGCCTACGGATCGCACCCCGGTGACCAGCCGCTGGTCCCGAATAACTTGATTTGATTTTTTTTTTTTTTTTTTTTTTTTTTTTTTTTTTTTTAATGCCAGGATTGGATATCGAGACTCCCCCTCGGCTCACTACTGTTCCGTTAGTGCTCAGAAGTTTTCCCACCCTCCTTGATTTTTTGCTTTCCCTGGCTGACAGGCTGGAGAGCCGGAGGCAGCGAGCGCCCAAAGGCAGCCTGTGGTAATGGCTAAAATGACACCAAGTAGGCGCCGCTAAAGTCCATCGACACGTATGGAGAGCGGGCTTCTGTTTCAGGTCCTCATCTGGAAAGGGTTCATCCGGCCAGGAGCAGCCTTTCACAGCCTCCTGAGCAGTAACCATAGTAACTCACCTCTCTAGATGGGATCGTCCTTATTGGATGCCCGTCTTCCCTTGGAAAGCCCGTCTCTCTAAATATAGAAGATGATGAGATCCCTGAGCACACAGCCGCGCAGACTAGGTGTGGTTAAACCGAGTCCTTTGCTGAGAACTATGTTCAAACGTGGAGCAGGGTCGTCAGACCTTGCCAGGAAGAGCCAGGATGCCAGGGAAAGACCAAGTTACGGTGTTCTGAGTTAATTGCTTTGTTATTTTGGAGGGGGTTACCGCTTGAAATTATACAAGAGCTGGCTGTGATTTTTAAAAATCAGCCCCCCCCCCCATAACCGCCCAAGTAAATAACTGGTGAGATGAGTTCCTGGGCATGTCCCAAATCTCTTAGGGGGAGTTGAGGTGACTCCCACTTCCACTTAAGTGACTGTGTGAGTTTGAAGGTTTCTCTCTCTCTAATCTATAGTCCAGACCGACCTCACTTCAAACATCTCCATGCCGCCCCCCCCCCGCCCCCACACACACCTGCCTTCTCTTGCCCTGATAACCAATCCCTGTCTCTGCGTCTGTGGAGGTGACTTATGCCAGTATGTCTTCTTGTTTAAAGATCCCTGGCCACCCTTCATGAGCCGGAGGCTGTGAGACATGCTCCATGTGCCAACGGGAGTTCTCAGCAAATCTTCTGAGGCTGTCCTAGGCAGACACTGTTCGGACTGAGTCAGCATTACCAGGTAAATCCCCCACGGAAGAGGAGGAATTGCCGTTCAAATATGTATCCAGAGAAACAAATGCTAATGTAGCAATCTCGGCAACTTACGAGATCAATAGAAGGGGCTGTTTAGATGGGCGGTTGCTGGGGAAGAAGTCAATAAAGGTTTTCTGTAAAAAGGACATTTGTGGGCAGACTTCTCCTAGACCCGCGTAAATGGGGTGGACCAAGTGAGGGAGCCTGAATCCCGGAAGATGTCAAGGAGAAGCTTTCTGAGAACACTGGCAGTATGGGTTTGGGGTGAAAGAAATGGAGAGAATTCTCCAGGTTGCCAGAGGGGGTTGTGGAGACTTTTTGGAATGCTAATTTGCGTGGAGACTAAGGATAGAGACGAAGGAGAAGTAACTACTTTCTTCCCAATCGTAAAACTGAATTTGTTGTATAAATGAATGTTCATCTCCCCAGCACCTTGGAGGTGGACTGAGCTATGTCAGAGGTGACTAGCCTAGCGAGTGACAAACTCAGAAAAAAAAAGTGTCCTCTATAGAGATGGGCAACGGGAGAGAATCTATTCAGAGTCCCATTCAAAAATTCTTCCTGATTTCATATGGCTTTATGGATGTCATGAGACTTTGAAATCATTCATTTTTATGGTTACTTATGGAGATCACTGTAGTTTAATAAAATTAGAACATAATAACCATACACAAACCACCCAAAACGGCAGAGTTCATCAGCTTTTAGTGCCAGCCACCCTTCTCTGCTCTTCCATGACAATTACCATATTTTATTGTGAGAAACAAATTCATGGAGACAGATGAGACTCAATGTTATCTTCCAGGGGATGTGTAAAGGTTCTCCGTGTGGCCTCATTCTCAGGAGTGCGTGAGCAAAGCAGCCACAAGGATTGGTTTCTCTGTGCAAACGCATTAGTCTTGTAACTTATACATATATCATACCTATCCCGTTTCTTATGCAATACACGCAGAAGTTTAAAAACTCTGCATCCTCTAATGTCCATAAATAACAGTGCCACTCCATTGAGACCACTGTCATAATCAAAAATGCAAAGTGCTTCTCAAATTTTAGGCATGATTTTCATCACGAAAGTGTACTATACTATGCAGAATATGTGCCGGGCAGATTTTGGTGAGCATGTTTGTTTAAAAATGCCATAGTATTTAGTCCTAAATAAATTTAAAAGAAAGGTACCATGATATCAGACACTTAATCCTAGAGAAGTTGGTGGCCCCACAGTCACAGCAAATCCACCAATGAGAACATTGGAGTTGAAGGATCTAGTGACCCTCAACAGTGTGGCCGCTGCTCACACTTGCACAGTCTAGGTCACAAAGAGTATGGGTGTGGTGCCCAGGATCTGATGCTTAGATCAAGCTGAAACCAAGCAACTTAAGGCTGAAACCAAGACCTAAATACAGCCTTCCATTTCCAGCTGCTCGCTCTGTCAGGAAGGTTTTAGGTGCACATCAGCGTTCATGTTCGGTGTCATGAAGCTTCTGTAAGGCTTCGAAGATGCCTTGGGACACAATAGAATCTTTAAAATCTCCATCAAGGCTTCCGCTCCTGGGCTCTCTGCTCATGACTCAGTTTCAACAGGGAAATCATTGAAGTCCCAAGTGTACCTGAAAACCAACATATTGGAAGCTTAGACTGTCTGCCAGAGCAGTGCAGGCTTCTGAAACCTCTGTGAAAACATAGATATTAAATGAAATACAGAATATATATACATATATATATATGTGAAAATGAGATAGAGGCAAACATAAGCCAGCCAGACTCTCAGAATTGAAGCTAAGGATGAGAAACTTGCCTTCTTGTTGGGCATGGGATGAGAAACTTGAAGCTAAGGCTGAGAAACTTGCCTTCATGTTGAAGCCAGTTTTGTTAAGTCTCTTTATTTACACTTATTTTTAAAAATAATCTATTTAAAGAATTGTAATACTTTATTTTCCCATTTTAGCACAATTATTTCAATTTTTCCTAGTCAAAATTATACAAAGACAACAATACAGACCCATCCAATTTCTGGTAATAATTCTCAATAGGGATAATGAGGTGTGTGTGTGTGGGGGGGGTATTAGTGAAAGCCAGTCAGAGTTTACTAGTCGTGTGTTCAATACTGTAAAAGATAATCTTATATTTAGGAAAAAACCCAAGAATTTGCTTTTATAGTCTTAATTTAAGAGAAATTCTTAACAGCAGAATGAAAGGAGACTTCCAACTCCCAGTGGTTGAGTGGACGGGCTACAGGCACAAGTCTGAGACTGCAAACTCTTCAGGGATGTAGCAGGGTGTCGGTGAAACTTCAAGTGCTTATCCAGTGGGTCTGGACGTGGAAAAGTTGGGGATATTTTCAAAAAGATGTAGGAACCAGGAGCCCAAAGACTCAGTTCTTCTCCTACATACAGCCAGTGGCTTTGGGGGATTGCCTGAGCTTGAGCACAATGCCATTCAAGGATGCTCCATGCCTGTAGAAGGAAGGCATGCCCACTGGTGAAGATCGTTGTCTTGATAGAGAATGTCCAGGTGGAAACTCAAATCAGACACCGTGAGAGCAAGGGTAAAACCTCTTAATGGCAGAGCAAGGGCTCATGGAGATGAGAATGGCAGCTCTGACTTGAGTTTATACAGACCTTGGACCGCAGAAGCAAAACTGGCCTTTGATACTCCCAAGTAAAAGGTGATGATGGACGATATAAAAACAAAAGGTGGTGTGGATGATACTGGGTAAGATTCTCTTAAAAAGCCTCTGTTACCCACAGGTCAGGGGCTGAAACTCTCCTCTCTCAGCACCGGCCCTGGGTAGCCACAGGAGTTAAAGCATCTCTCTAGATATTATTGGGGAGAATTCTATTATTTATTTATTTATTTATTTTTTTATTTATTTATTTATTTATTTATTTATTTTGGAAGCCATATCCAGAAAGCTAGTTGTTTGGCCAATTTTCTTTCTCTGTCATTCTCGTGTTCTAAGGTGATGGGGTGCAGGGAATGGGGGTACCATCCCCCACCCCCACCCCGGCAAGGAGGGGTAAATCACAAGGTGTACTCTGTCTGAAAACTCACGGGTTTTGGCTCTGTCATAGGCAGGGCTACCTTACTGGAGAGGTAGGCTGTGGTGCAGTGTAACTTCCTTATTGCCTGGCTGGTCACCTCTTGTTTAATGGTGTTCTCTCTGGTTCAGTGACCAGTAGAACAAGATGGGCTTGTGGGATTGCTCATGCTGTGTTCAGTAGTCCATGTCTGTGGCTTGGGACTATGCCAGGGGACCAGGAATCTCAGGCCAGACAGTGCCGCTGCTATCTTGAGAAATCACCGGGCATCAGTGCCCCTGGAAGTTCTTAATAAGGCCTTCCACAATCTGCAACTTGTTGGCAATCTGAAACTGCCAATAAAGTCAATATTGTGCTTGGAGTAGATGATAAATCTGAAGAAAACAGATTGCTCCATTGATTCAGAGAGCTAAACACCGACACTGAGTTCTGCTGTCATGGAGCCTCGGGAAAGGTGCTGGGTGTTTCTAGGGTATTGACAGAACGAAGGTGGCTGAGAGAGTACTGTCAAACATCAGCAAAGCTGTTATGTCCTCGGAAAGCAAAGCAGTATAGCCTTGGACTTTGGTCCCGCCTGCCTTCATGAACATACTCATGAATGTTTTACGTAACCCATGGTTCACACCACCAAGGGCACAAATGTCCTACATATAACAGGATGCTTCTGAGTTTGGATATATATTCATGTTTTAAAAAGGGGAGGGGTCATTGCAATAACCCCCCTTTGTAAGAGTTCCTGAAGTGAAATTATGAGTGCATGTGACACACACTGAAGAAAGGGCTTTCAAAGCGCCGTCTCAGCTGAATGACAAACAAACCAGTAAATTTAAAATCGCCCTCCCCCCACATGAGTAGAAAATAAAAACATAGACTCTTCCAGGTTACACTATCTTTCCCGAAGACATGGGGTTTGTCCTGGTAGAGAGCTTTAAGCCTTGCAGCGAGACTGCAGAATATGGCTAACAGGGTCAGGTGAGCTATGACTCTCATTGTTGTTTTTGTTTTGTTTTTCTGGCTACACTAAGGCTTCAACCCAAGTCCAGTGCAGGCAAGCCAAATGCTCTACGACTGAGTTATATCCCCAGCTCTAGACTAGAGAATTTGAGACCAAAGTATTCGTAGTCTTTAGGATCAAAACTATCACATCTGATAGTTTTCCTATCAGTCAAGCATGGTTTAGACACACAGGCACTTAGACACTTTCAATGGCTAATGTCTGGCTAGCGTCCCAAAAGGAGACCCGATAAGAGCTTGCTTTATCTATGATAGGCATCAGCTGTTGGTCCGGTCCGAGATAGTGGCTTACTTTACTTTCTCCACAGAGGATCCTCCAGACTTTCTGTCCAAGGCTAGGATGGACATCTCCAACCAGACCGCTTCAACTTGATTTTTACCACATGTTAGTTAAAACGTTAGGGAAAATTTTTTTTTAAAAATCTACTAAGAGTAAAGTATCAAATGTACCAGCTCTTTGCTCTTTCTTGGGTATCTCCTTTGACCTAAAAAAAAAAAAAATCACTGAGATGGGGATGTTCTCTTACTGTCATCTGCCCTTTCAAAGTGTTTATAAATTAATTTGCTGATGCTATTTTCTTAATGTACTGTCCCTGGGCCTCCTACCAAATGAAATCACATGAACACTAACAGGATTCCAGTTGCCTGGAGGCAAACGCAGAACAATAAGGAAGCAATCGTTTGTAATTGCATTTTAAGCATTTATTTAAAGACGTATGTATGAATTGCCCTGCCAGAGCTCTAATGACTGGCAGGTCACTCTGATCTGTGGCTTTTGCGGGGTTCCTTGCTGGGAGCTCTGACATGCACAGAGCCTGGCACAGACATTTGGTGTGGTTACAGCATTAAAAAAAAATAATTTTAATGTTCAAACCAGCGTTAGCTGTTTCACTTCAGAAATAAATTCCGGCTCAGCTCAGTTTTGTAGCCTATATACTATTCTCAGCCCTCAAAATGCTGACTCTAAAAGTCATTTGGCTCTTGTTTATCTCGTTTTAAATGAATTACAAGCCTTTTGGTTGCAGGAACATAAGCATATTTATCCCTGCCAACTCCATCATAACAAGTGAACATGTTTGGGTATTCAGAATAGCATGAATGAATTATCCAGGAGGTCAGCTAATTGTTTAAAAGTCAGTTCTCATTTCCTTTAGCCCTAAATGTATACCCAATAGTAGTACACCAGAAATACAATCTCAGAGCAGTTGTGGGATTTGTATAATGTCTTTCAACTTGACCATCTGAGCCATCTTCTTCTTGGAGGCTTTCAGCTAATAACTCTCCTCTGCGAGTTGCCAGGTGGTGGAAATGGTCTCTAGGTCAGAGCTGGTAGGATGCGGGTTGTGCTTGGCTTCTGTGTGACCGGTCTAGGTCTATTGGCACTCATTGGCAGGGCTATGGTTTGATCCAAGGCTTACTATATTTTGGGTGTGATGTCATTTCCCATAGTCACAGGGGCCGGTGTGTGTCTTGCCCCATGAAACAAAATGAGATTTGTAACGAGTTTAGGTAATTTGCTTAAAGCCACACAACTAAGAGGTGATAGAGCCTGAGAGTGAGCCTGTGCCTCCACGTGCTTCCTGACCCCCAGCTCTTAGCCATACAACTGTGAGTCTCTTCTGGGCCCTGGTCTCCCCCCCCCCCATATGCCATCAGAAGAGTCTGAGGAGCATGAGCTGCACATAGCTGCTAGCCCAGAAGACTTTGAGTTTTAATCCAGCGAGTAAACAGATGTAGCAACTTAAGGTTTGCTACATACTTTAGCCTCAAAGTGGCTAAAACCATATTTCCAAAAGTGATGTGGAAAACATTGCAAAGAGCCAGGCAGCCAGTATGGAGGGAATTGCCAAGCTGACAGCAGCTGTGAAAGCTGCTCAGAGATTCAGCAGCCTTGGGGTGTTTCCTTAAGAACAATAAACCGAGTGACTCAGAACCTTGCCCAGGAGGAGCAGGCTTAGGTCTAGACCTCTGAGTTTTCAGAGTCTGATGTATTCTGTATTTTTAGGGTAATGTTTGAAATATAGCCACCCAGAATCTTTTTGAATATATATTTATGCATATAGAGCGATATATACATATAGATAGGTATATACACACATATACACGTTACTCTTTCTTTCTCTCTCTCTCTCTCACACACACACACACACACACACACACACACACACACACACACACATCTTTATCTGTTAGGTGAAAACAGCTTCCCTGGAGGATCAGTCAGGAGTGGGAGGCAGAACAGTAAATTTGATGCTTGATTCTTCAAGCTGCAATTTGCCATTCATTGTATTACTCACAAATGGTCTTTTAGCTGGCCACAAATGCTGCGTACAAGAGGCGATAAAGCAAGCCAACACTTAACAAAGGACACATGTATAGATGAAAACAGTGTTGCTTATGGCAAAGTTGTGATTCTTCCTCCCAGGTCTTTCCTCGCCCTTCCCTTCACTAGAGTAATTCATTAGCTCTTGTGACCAGAAAAATTGTGACCTGCCTAAGCACCAATGCTCGTAACAGGCACTGATGCCTCTGAAGGTGAACCCTGGGGACTCCTATTGAAAATGTGCTCCACTCTTTACTCTGTAATTAAAACGTGATCTGGCTTTGTTTATGATGCTTAAAAAAAGGGGGGGGGGAAGCAATAGCCACAACAACAGTATCAGTCAACCTGGTTGCTTGGCTATCAGTTGATTGTCCAAGTCAACTTTTATCACCCATTAGTACAGTTGCCTGCTGCTGTATCACTCAGGCTCTCAAAGTGTGGTGCCTGGCTAGCCGGCACGGATCTCAGTTAGATTGGGTAAAAGTGTAAAAATGTCCCCTCCAGACCCACTGAAAAGGTGGAGGTAGGCCTGGTAGTTCATATTAAGATGCCCTGCAGGGGATCCTGATGCTTGTTACCATTTGAGAACCACTGTAACATCACTGAGTTAGACAGTTGATGAAACAGAGGGCGTGAATGGCCCAGCATGTAACGTGCTTTCTCTGCTCTCATGAGCACCTGGGTTTGGAGCCCAGGCACCCAAGTAAAAGCCAGGCTGGGGCAAGGGCCTATAATCTGAATGCTAATAAAGTGAGGGCAAGAGGACCCGGTGGAGGGCGGACTAGGGTTGTGAATCTAGGTTCAGTGAGAGACCCCCAACATCAAACAAGTAATGTGGAGCCCAATTGTGGAAGAAAACCCATGTTCACCCCTGCGGCTTTAACTTGCATGTACACACACACACACACACACACACACACACACACAAACACACACACACCTGTGCACCTGGATGTAGACGAATATACTCATGCATATATCACAGACACTCACACACATGCACATAGAGTTATACAGGTGTGTGTGCACACAGTAGGAGTCATTATCACACATTATGTCTAGTTATTTAATTTCAAAATAACACTGACAGTTCTCCATTATCTTAAAAACAAACAAAAAAATTAAAACAAAACAAAACAGAAACAAGAAATCTGGGTTTGGTGATGGTTTCATTTGTTTTCTTTACTTGATCAATTTTGTCCTTTTTCCCTAACCCTTTCAAATCCGTGAAAAATTCACACAAGCTGTGGTTTGCTTGTTAAGTTCAGGAACTATGTGCAGAGGATTTCATCTTTGAGTCTTCGTTGTTTCTTTCAGGTCAGTGCACACTGCTTTGAGTCCTGGATTCCTTCATAATACATACCCACACTAGGCTTCAAACTTTGTTGAATTTATAACCCACAGTGACACCTGTAAGAGTTTGGGATGCTTAGGAAGGGCCTGTAGCTTTCCCTACTGGCTTAGGAAAACCATCCTGCTACAGGAGAGCCACGTGAAGGCTGTGTGCCTTCAAGACGAAGCAAACACTACAGAAAGTAGGTTATTAAAGAGCATATTTCAGCGCTTAATCTTGGGAAAGCTCTAGATTTTAGAGGAAAAGCATCAAACACCTTAGGGTAAATTTGTTTAACCCACATGTCTTTCTGCACTCAATATTTTGTGAGTCAAATGGTCCTAACACAGAAATGTTGGGTTAGGGTGAAGCACCTAAAGTTTAAAGGTAAAGCTTTCTGCTCTGGACCCTGGAATTGAGTGAAAACCAAACTGACTTGTTTTCTGCGTTCACTATGCTTCGCATTGGAAGTTAGGAGTTTGATCTTGCTTCCTTTCTGTGGCCACAGTGCCATCTAGAGTACATCCTGGGAACTCCTTCGGAAGCCTTTGAGAACTCTAAGCTGTTTTGCCTTAAAGGCAGAATCCCCAGCTGAAGTCGAATTTTCCAGGAGGAAACAGATACTCCATTTTCACAAGGGACACGAAAAGTCACTTATGCTATCCGTTCACTTTTTCTTCCTCTTTATTAATCTCTGTTCTGCCAAATGTCAGGATGATGTTAAAACATAACCGCGTACAATGCTTTTGTCTGACCATATAACATTATATTAACTAATTAATTAATTTTATGTTTACTTTTGAAAGAGTATGTTAATTACAGCATTTCTCCCTTACCTTTCCTCCCTGTAGGCCCTCCCAAATACCCTTCCTGCTCTCCTTCAAATTCATGGCCTTTCTTTTCATCAGTTGTTCTTGCATATTTATATGTGTTCATACATCTTCATATATATATATATATACATACATACATACATACATACATACATACATACATACATACATATATATATATATATATATATATATATATATAACCGATTTGGCACTCGTCAAAACATGGGTGTGCTCTTCGTAGGGAGGACCACCTCTCCCATTCCCAGCTTGCCTCAGTTGCATGTAGTTATTTTGTTTAGAGTTGAGGTCTCTCGGGCTTTTGTCTTGTCCAGTTTGACATGTCCACCCTTGCTCAGCCCACGTTTGTATGATTGTATGACCATGTTGGTGAGACTTTATGGGTGTAGTTTCTGATGTTACTAGGAGACACAATCTCACACCAAACTCCCTGATTCTCTGGCCCATACAATCCTTCTGCCCCTCTTCAGAGATGGTCCCTGAGCTTTCAGTGGGGGTGTGTCTCGTAGACACGTTCATTGGAACTGAGATCCACAACTCTGCGCCTTGATTGGTTATGATTTTTCTGCAGTGGTTCTCTGTCTGTGGGTATCAGGACAAATGTTTAGATTGCTGTCAGGGATTATGCCATTATTGTTTTTTTTTTTTCTTTTTGTAGAAAATCAAATAAAATTTTTATTACTTGGTGCTTATGATTCATGGCACACTAAGACATTCTTCAAGAGGTCCTTACATTTTCTTTTTTATTTTATTTTAATCACAGGTCATTCACTTGTATCCTAGCCGTAGCCCCCTCCTTCTTTCCCTCCCAATCCCACTCTCCCTCCCTCATCTCCTCCCTGCCCTCTTCCAAGTCCACTGATGGGGAGGTCCTCCTCCCCTTCCATCTGACCCTAGCCTATCAGGTATCTTCAGGACTGACTGCAATGTCCTTATCTGTAAAGGCATAATTGGACCAACAACTATTTTATGTCAGTTTGATGACTCTAGAAATGTTAGTTTTCTCCTGAGTATTGGGAAGATTAACAAAAAGAATTAAGGAAAATTATTTAGCCCATTCCATTATATCTTGTGCTGTATCGATTTCAAACTTGGGTATAAATTTTGGCGCAAAAAGATACAATATTAAACAGTACTTGAATTTGATTTCGAGGGCTGCATAAGGAAATGAACATAGAATTCTAAATGCGACCATCTATTTTGGGTCTGAAATGATGGCATTTGGCGTTTCAATCATAGGACAGATGTCAATGGCAGTGCTGTTTTGTGGGAAAGGAACAATGTCTTTCCTTTCCAGTGACAAGGGTCACTGGATTTCTGCTAAAGAGTGGTCTCCACCTGACGAACTGCTCTTTGCCACCATGCTGACTGACCTTTCTCCAACTATTTTTTTTGTTTTAGCTTATCCAAGAGAAGTACTATCATATTCCTTAACAACGTCGAAAGTAGCCTACTTTAAGAGAAAATATGCAGAAGAAGAAGATTTACATCAAGATTACCATGGGTATTTTCCAAAAGTAAGGATTTTCTTTTCTCCCAGTTCTCCCTCCCAAAGGTCCTTAATTAGCACAAAGCTCTATCTCTCATTTCCCCGTGTGGAGTTTAATGACTCTTGTTTGCCTCCTAGCACCTGATATTACCCGAAGACAGGACTTGTATCCTCAAACTTTCTCTGGAGAAGCTCAGGTTTCTTGAAGACCCAGAAACCTACTTAAGAAGGTCTGTGTTAATTAACAATTTGCTGAGGAAGATACACCTAGAGGCAGAGAAAGAGAACTATGAATACTTTAAGGAAGCTCCCTGCTATAAGACTGCTTATTCGGATACAAGAAAACGGCTGAAGTTTATGGTACAGGAGTGCTGTTCCCAGTCTCTCTACTATGAAGAGCTGCATTCCTACCACATTGTGCCTTACACTTCGGAGAATTCCATCTATGGGGTGGGCTACACTGGTGACCGCCTGGAGCAAAATTCTCAGTTGCTTATTTATAAAATGAATTAAAGTAACTGTTAAGTTCATTGCTATTTTGTTTCTAAATGCCTGAACTGTTTATAGTGAAGATGTTAATACAAAACACTAATTGCCAGTGCCCTTGATCTCAGTGATGAGATGCATGCTGAAGCAAGGGGAGAGAACCATGGGTATTACCCAGCAATCCTTAGTGCCATCACATTGAATGGAAAATGGACCCCCTTTGTCAGTGGTTTGATGCATTAGAAGAAAGGGTTTTTGTTGTTGTTGTTTGTTTTTGTTTTTTGGTTTTTTTTTTTTTTTATATATAGAAAGGGGTTGATCTCTGGTGGACCTGTTAGATTAAAATTCTTAAGTCACTCCCCACCTGAGTTCTGCCATTCTTATTGAGAAGTAGGAAAAAAAAAAAGAAAAAAAGAAAAAAAGAAAAAAAAAAGAGCATATTAAATTGATAATGCTGTGACCCTGAGGATTAAGGGTGGAATGAATCTAATTTTCTTTACATGATGAGAATTGTTCTTTCAGAAATGGTTTGGCTTGTCAAACACTGTGCCAAATGATTGTCTGTCTTTAGCATCCTTCAGCCGTGAGTGGCAGCTCAAGATGGGGCTAGCATAGTCCCTCAAGCTCATCCACTTTTTGTTGTTGTCCTTGTTGATTATTCTTCCTTGGTCTTAATAGACTTTCTCTTTAAGAATCACATGTAATAAATTAGCATTGCATATAGGATCATCTTTAAGTTCTATAGGTTGATTAAGATTTGTGCTGGGCCTTTAAGAGTTTGAATTTTATTTATGATCTTTTAATTTTTTTTTTTTATATAGGCTGTGAAGCTCAGGAAAAGGGTAGGCAGGCAAAATATGCTTTTAAAAGGTTAATGATTTTTTTTTTTTTTCAAAAAAACCTGCTCTGGAAAGTTGGTGAGAATAATAGAATTTAGACATGATGTTATTTCTTCACCTTGCTAAGAGCTCACGCAAAGGTGCCCGGATGAAGCATTGCACTGATTTTTGTCCATTAGTCCAGTAATCAATCACTTGCCACTTCACAAAATGTGTGGGAATGCCTTTGGGGAGATTTTAGACAAGTTCTTATGTTTTACGGTTTGGAGGGTGGTGATTTAACAAGTTGGGTAGATTTATGAAATTGCTGGAAGTGATTCATCGTGTTCTTGAGGTTTGAGTGAGACTTCTGACTTCAGGCTCTGAAGTTATCCTATGGAGTGTTTCTTTTAAAGAACTGTTATTGATAAAATAGATTGGGAAAACTAGGTGCCAAAGGTGTATTTAAGAAAATACCAAAGACTCGAGGATGAGTGTTAGGGAGGCTGTGAAAGTGAAGCTAGCAAAGACAAGATTCTAAGCCAAGGACTGCACAGGTGATGTGGAAAGTGTTAAGGGCTTCATGAGAATTTGCTTACTGGTCTGCTTTCTGAGCTTTGTTCACAATGATGACAAACAGGGATATGATACTAAATTAAGATATCAAGTGTTTGCAATTCAAATATGGCAACTGTCAGCACGGTGTCATCTCCAGCTGAAATACAGACTTGTAAACAGGCTGACCGTATCTCATTTAGACACCACTTTTGGTCCTTGTGATGAATCACCAAGGTGATTTGTACAAAGAATACGGGGCCCCTGACTAGACTGCGTGGTGCGAGACTGAAGCAAAAGACTATAAGCACGCTTGATCCAAGTGCCAGGTTTATATTTAATTTCTCAATCAGCATTAGGTAAAGTGCTTTAGAATAAAGTACAATTTTAAATAGAGGGAAAGACTCACAGACAAGTCAGTGTGTAATGGTGAGATGTCTTTGAAACCCACATATAAATATTTAAAAATTAATTGGAGAACAAGATTTGGCATAGATGTTTAATACTTTTATTTTCTTGCTTCCAAGAGGCTGCATTTCTCAGAAAAAAAAAAATTCTTTCAAAAATATTTATTTAAAGTTGAAGCTAGCCTAAAACTCCAAACTTGACAAGATAAGAATGCCATCATAAGTCTAGAGACAGAATCGGTATTTAATGCTTTTTAAGTTTTCACTGAAATGAACACCTGATGTGGCTTACAACTGTGTCTCTAAGAAGAGGCCACCAACCCTAACAGGCGTGACTTCTCAAAGAGCACATGTTTAAATTGTCTAAATATAGAAATACACATATTTTGGGATAGAAGAGAAAGGAAGAGGAAAAGAGTAGTCAAGAAAGTGTAAATTTGTAACATCTCTTGTATGTCAGAATCCTTAAACAAAGCCAGAACTCTGGGACAAAGAACCAGTAACATATGTAAAAATCCATTTTATTTCAAGACATCATTACCTGAATGCTATGATCTATACCTTCATATATAAGCTGTCTTAGAAGCCAGTGGTAGTTGTGATTCTACTTTTATCTAAATATTCATTGATTTAACAACAGATTACTTTGAAAATATTTTTTAGTGCAAATAATTTTTCCCCAGTGAACAGCTCCTAGATAAGGAGTTGACAAGCGCTATCTTGATTTTTCCTTTAGGCTTGTATTTAAATTCTGAAGACTTGCATGAGTTAGCCCATGTATGGCTGTGATTTTAGCAGGGCCAGCTAGGATACAGGGAGCTCCCATTCAGGTTTGCTCTGCTAATGACTTTTTTTCCACTGTGGATGGTGCTGGCACCAGTTAAAGCTTTTTTGACTTTAGGCATCCTTGATCTGGTGACAGAAGCTAGCCTTAAAATAGGAAACTGAGACAAGAAATCTGAGTGTCACTGTACTCTTCTCCTGAGGGTGCCATAAGATCCCTGGCAAAAAAGAAAACACACACATACCGCACATAGATACACACACATACATGGAGACAAAGACACACAGATACATACCCACAAACACACAGACACATATCACATAGACACACACAGACACACACACACCCCTATAAAGAAGACCACAATGGACACAAAGAAAGGGAGATGATAAAAATGAAGAGGAGGGGGAACAAAAAGAGGGTGAAGGAACAGTGACAGGCAGGATCTGTAAGTGAAAGAGCAAATTGTTTCCTGTGAGGGACTGTTTGCTTGCTTGCTGTATTCGTTTTCTCTTTCCTGTGTCCACTGTCCATAAGGCACCTGCTCTCTGAATGAACTGCTCATCTCTTTCATTCGGCAATGATGCCTAACATTAGATTCTACGCAGCACAGACAAGACTTGCAAAAATGGGATTACAGCAAAACCCTGCTGAACCTGGACTCTGGGCAGGCCAGTGAAGGAAAAACAGAAAATACAGTCAAAGGAGATGCCAAATCCAGAGGCCATGTGCAAACACATATGCTCAAATGCATGGGCCGTTTCAACGCGTATCTCAAGATTAAGCAGCCCGGTGTCTGGGGACTCTGCAGAAGGGCAGGTCACCACTCACTGAGACACCATTAGCATCGAGCCTTGTGCCAGGGCTGGGATGTGAGCCGAGCGTTACACGGTCACTTTGCTCGGTTTCCCCATGAGAGGACTGAGATAATTTGGCACTTGCCTTTTCTCTTCCAAACTGGAATGGTTGTGAGACATCTTTCTCCAAAAGTGCTTGCAGGTGATTAAGACACACAGGGAAGAGGCAGGGCACACGGAAGGGATGCACACACACGGAGCCTCACAGCACAGGCAAGTGAGGGACAGCTCTGTCGCATGGGGTGATGAGCTTGGTCTGTATTCCTCTCGGGATGTCTCCTCGGGAGATGGTAGGGAAACAAGTACGGAACTGTCCCTCCATCTCTCCAGCTTCTCATTCTTTTACAGGGCAGATCAGGTCAGTGTTGAGGTCCAGGAAAGCTGTGAAGGACAATCATAAGTAGCCCACAGGCTAAAAGCTGGGTCTGGCCTAAATAAGGCTAGAGAGACAGACTTCGTTCCTTTGTCTTTTGTTTTGAGAGTGGACTTGGGATTTCTTAACACCTGCTCCTGAAGCCATTTTCTCTCTGTCCCACAAACTCCCTTTCTGAATTGCAGCCTTGTCCCTGATCCCCTCTTCTGTTCATCCTCTTTCATGGGGGTGGGGGTGGGGGATGCTGATCTGCCCAGAGATACTCAGGAGGATAACAGCTTAAAATCCTGGCTGAGTTCCTTTGAGAAAGGGTTCCGGAGTTTATCAAACTGGAATCCATTCACAGTGATGTTATTAGTTGAACACAATTCTTTTTTTTAAAAAAAAAATGACCATACTTAGTCACTGAGTACTTGTGAGCTAAGGTAATCTTCTTGTTTCTAGAATTCAGTGTAATAGTCATGTTTTGCTGAGAAAATACAAAACAAAAACAAAAACAACCCTTTGTTGGAAACAATCAAAGATTGTATATAGTTAAATACTTTATGTAATATATGTCTATTTAGCTTACATATTCTTATTCTTGAACTTTATTACTATACATTAACAACATGACAAGTGCCATTTTTTTTTTTTAAAGGAAAAGCGAATTGTGTCTAAAAATTGTTACATTTTGGGGCAAAATTTCCAGATGAAGATAATTCTATCTTTCCTCAAGGCATAGTTTATACAGTTGGCTAGTTAAGAACATTCCTCTGCATTGGTACTTTTGAAATCCCTTTGGACAGTCAGTTCCCCAGTGGTCTTATTACAAAATGCATATTCTTGTTTTGCAAGTCTTCAGTGGGACCCAAGTCTCCATTTTTCAATATTCCCCAGTAAATGCAGTTTTGAGTAGAAAGTTTATTTATAATTTTTAGGATGGAAAACACTAACTCAAGCCTATACATGGATGTTCATGTCTGTTTTCCATAGCAAGTTTTTTGGTTTCTTTTTTCCCTTTTAAGAAATACAAAACAAAGGTGGGTGTGATGTCTCTGTCTGGGTGGTCGTGGTAAGAGAGTCAGGAGCTTGGGGTCTTCCTCAGCTATGTACTGACTTTGAAACCACCCTGCGTGGTATATGATGACCCCCATCTCGAGGGGAAAAAAAAAAACAGAAGAAAGAGAAGGTGAAAATAAGTATCACAAAGCCATAAAATCGTGTTTCCCAAGTAGTTACAAACATAGCACAGTGTTAACATGCATGGAGATTGGTTTTGACAGTTAGAAGGCTAGATCCAAACCAAGTGCATAAAAGGAGCACAGAGCTTTGTCCCATTCTTATCGGTTGGCAATCCTGGAGCCAAGAATAAAAGTTTCCAGAGTTAACATGATGTTGACAGTCTTGCTTGGTGGCTCCTGTAACAGTAGTACAAAATACCCTAGGTTAAACCCAGGATTCTGGGTGTCGGCAAGCCCACGCTGGAGAGTGACCTTTGCCCCTTATCTGGAATTCCATTTGAGCTCTGTCTCCACCCCTGACTCCACATCTTTCTCCTCAGGTTGGGAGGTCACAATAAAGGGATGATCTGTGTAAATGAAGAGTCGCCTAACTTGTCTAGTTTGAGCATGCCAAGTGCTTTTGTCAGGCTCTCTTCTGGTCCTGAGCTCTTGGTAGCGCTATTGTGAAATACAGTGTCATAATAACCCGTTAATGAAGGGATAGCTGCACAAGTCTGGCTCCGTGGGAACGCGCTCAGCTGCGGAGCAGATGGCGTTCTACAACATTTATTTGGGGAACTGTGTATCTGTTATATAACCTAAAATATGTCTTTTTCACATTTAAAAATATTTGGGTCCTGGTTTAAAGTTTTGATTGGATTGTTTTTTGTTTTTTTTTTAAGCTGGGAGGAAGAAGAAAGGTAACTGTATTTTATGACGTATTTGACATGTTACTAATAAAATTTTATTACTAGCAAAATGTGGAGCCCTTTGTGAAGCCGGGGAGATGGGATCCTGCATGTGGCAGCTGCGGGGTGGGGTGTCTCTGAATTCCAGGGGTCGCTTTTTTAAAAGCAGGTGGTTGTGCTCTTCAACGCGACATTAACTTAA